GTAGGTGATACTCAAGAGCGTGGGAACGCTGAATTTGAATAGGTAAGGTTGAGCGTGGGCAGGGAGTCATTACCCTAAAATTTCAGCTTCCTAGACTCCGTGGTTTCCGAGATATTAATTTACCCGTAAAAAACTTTCACGGGGCAGTACTTGTTTGTTACCCGCGGGTACGGGGGAGCTGAATTTAAAGTTGCGGGATCACACGTGGGTGGGGAACATTCCCCTAAATTTTCAGCGTCCTAGCTTTTGTGGTTCCCGAGTTGAAATTGCGGACAAGTTGCTGCGGACACACACACACACACACATACATACATACACACACAAACACACACAGACAACCCCGTGACAACATGCGTTTTGTAGTGCTGTTTCACAGCACAAAACGCATAAAAACTGTCCGGCCAAAGTCAGCAAGTTTGATTAAAAGTTTGGGACTGAGTGTTAGACTAAGTTTGAAATGTTACGTTTTGGCGTGCAGGTTGAAGAGTATGAGCAAGATTTTGGTCTCGGGAGGAGAGCATGGAATCGTGGATTTTGGAAATAATGTAATGGCAACAAATCTTCGCCTATTCCTGCTACCCTGAACTATATCAGTTTTCGTCCGATTTGCTCTTCACATATTATTTTGCATATCCTTGATAGGGTTTCCACAACAGTTGTTCGGATGATCTTAGTATTCTAAGTAATACATGTGAAACATTGTCAGTTTTTATAAGTTATGAATATAATGTAAGTTTATATTAGTGGTAAAATCCGCCGTGTAATTTAAGAGGATTGTTGAAAAAATATGAAAAAAAAACGAACATGGCTTTGATTTGGCTTTGATAAAAAACGAACATGGTGCTGGCTTTGATTAAAAAAAAAGAACAGCATGTCTTTGATAAAAAGGAAAGAATAGCATGGCTTCGATACTTTGGGGGAATTAAAATAACTTTTCCTAAATGGTACATGTGAAACATCAGATACATATTATGGATGCAATGTAAGTTTATATCACCCCATGTAATTTAAGAGAATAACTGAAAAAATATGGAAAAAAAAGATCAAGAGAAACAGTATAGTTTTAATTTTTTGGCAGGATAAAACTAATTTTTCTAGGATTTTATAACAACTACTAGCTCACTGTTTTGATAAATGTCGGCAAAAATTTCATATTTTGGGAGTATAAAAATAATTTTTCTAGGATTTTATAACAAATAACTCAGTGTTTTGATAAATTTCAGCCAAAGTTTGATATTTTCGGGGGATAAAAATAATTTTTCCAGCATTTTATAACAAATGATAATTCAGTATTTTGATAATTTGCGGCTAAAGTTTGATATTTTGGGAGCACAAAACTAATTTTTCTAGGATTTTATAACAAGTACTAACTCAGTGTTTTGATGAAATTCGGCCTAAGTTTGATATTTTCTGGGGATAAAAATAATTTTTCAAGTTTTTTATAACAAATAACTCAATGTTTCGATGAAATTCCAGCATGTTCTCATTTCAGGTGGGGACAGCAAATGTGGGTAACAGTGCAATAGCAACGGGCAATGATGGCCCAGGTGTCGATTACGAGGAAACGTATTTGTTCGCAGAACGAGCCAAGACAGCCAATAGTCTCAGCCCGGAACAAGCATTCGCGCACATGGTCAAAGCTATGCTTGGCACAGGACTCCTTTCGCTACCATTGGCGTTCAAAAATGCTGGATTATGGGTATCGTTCAGTTTTGAATAGAATTAATTCGTTTGAAAAATATTGAAGGATAAGGTAGAAAATGATGAAATAAAAAAAATGAAAAAGGGAAAGAAAAACGAAGTAAAAAAAGGGGAGTGAGAATATGAAAATATTTATAAAAGGTAAGAAATGTTTCGGGCCATTAAGTCGTGTACATTTCTTACCGTTACCACAGTTGGACCTCGTCAGTGCTACGATTATGGCAATAAAGATAATTTAGATGAAGGTTTAGTATGTGTGTAGTGTGTACACGGTTTTAAGATAAATACAAAGAGGAAAAAATGTACATAAAAAATATAACAACATATAAGTACCTGAAGAAAAATAAATTTTACTTTTAAAAACTTTAAAACCTAATAAACAAAAAAAAAAACACAAAACCAAAAAAAGAACACTTAAATAAATCAAATGAAAAATAAAAATAGGATAAAATATCCAGTTTTGAAATAAAATGAAGCATACTAAATGTAATTAAGTCAAATTGTTGAAGGGGGAATGACCAC